ACGAAGCAAGACAAACAAGATCTAGACACCGAAGGGGACAACTGCACATGGGAAGCCTACAGGGCAAGAGACGTGTGCGGCAGATGAAATTTGGCAGGGAACTGTGGTAGACTTAATAAGGATGAAGCATGACACTCAAGTCCTGTCATACCCAATCAAAGTGAGAGGGGAGGTGGTCACTGATGCCAAAGGATTTCAGCTATAAAGAGGGGCCGAGTGGCCACAAGAAAAGGAGGTCAGAAGAACCTCGTGAAGAACACCGTGCAGAGAGGAGATTTGTCATCTCGCATCGGCGACCCCAAGACCTGAGAGGTCTTGGTTATTGTATTCTATCTCTCTGTATCCCCATGTCCCTTGTTGACTCTCTCTCTCTCTCTCTCTCTCGTCGATCTCCCAGCCATTCACAGCCTTCCAACAGGAGTTGTCTGGAGCTCAGGCTCCAGGAGTTTTGGGTTTATTTATTAAACCATTTGTGTTTTGACACCTCAGTCAAAGGGCTGTCATCACTCTCTCTCCCTCTTTCTCCCTCCCTCTCCCTCTCTCCCTCTCTCTCTCTCTCTCTCCCTCTTTCTCTCTCCCTCTCCCACTCCCTCTCCCACTCCCTCTCCCTCTTTCTCTCTCTCTCTCTCTCTCTCTCTCTCTCTCTCTCTCTCTCTCTCTCTCTCTCTCTCTCTCTCTCTCTCTCTCTCTCTCTCTCTCTACCTATCTATCTATCTATCTATCTCTTTCTCTCTCTCTCTCTCTCTCTCTCTGTCTGTCGACCTATCTATCTATCTATTTATCTCTCTCTCCCCTTCCCCCTCTCCTCTTTCTCCCTCCCTCTCCCTCCTCTCCCTCTCTCTTCTCTCTCTCTCCCTCTTTTCCTCTCCCTCTCCCTCTCCTCTCCTCTCTCTCTCTCTCTCTCTCTCTCTCTCTCTCTCTCTCTCTCTCTCTCTCTCTCTCTCTCTCTCTCTCTCTCTCTCTCTCTCTCGCTCTCTCGCTCTCTCCTCTCCCTTCTCCCTCTCCCTCTCTCTCTCCTCTCTCTCTCTCTCTCTCTTTCAGCTCTCTCTCTCCCCTTCTCCCTCTCCCTCTTTCTCCTCCTCTCTCTCTCTCTCTCGGTCTCTCTCTCCCCTTCCTCTCCTCTTTCTCCTCCTCTCTCTCTCTCTCTCTCTCTCTCCTTTCTCCCTCTCCCTCTTCTCCCTCCTTTCTCTCTCTCTCTCTCTCTCTCTCTCTCTCTCTCCCCCTCTTCTCCCTCTCCTCTTTCTCCCTCCCTCTCTCTCTCTCTCTCCTCTCCCCCTCTTCTCCCTCTCCTCTTTCTCCTCCTCTCTCTCTCTCTCTCTCTCTCTCTCTCCCCTCTTCTCCCTCTCCTCTTTCTCCTCCCCTCTCTCTCTCTCTCTCTCTCCCCCCTCTTCTCCCTCTCCCTCTTTCTCCCTCCCTCTCTCTCTCTCTCTCTCTCTCCTTCCTCCCTCTCCTCTTTCTCCTCCCCCTCTTTCTCCTCCCTCTCCTCTCTCCCTCTCTCTCTCTCTCCTCTCCCTCCTCTCCCTCCTCTCCCTCTCCCTCTCCCCCTCTCCCTCTCTCTCTCTCTCTCTCTCTCTCTCTCTCTCTCTCTCTCTCTCTCTCTCTCTCTCTCTCTCTCTCTCTCTCTCTCTCTCTCTCTCCCGCTCTCTCTCGCTCTCTCTCCCGCTCTCTCTCTCTCTCACTCTCTCTCTCGCTCTTAGAGTGACATATGACTATCTAGAGTGGATTTGAGATGGGTTTTTTTTCTTCTGAAACCGAATTCAGTGATAAGCGACACTCGAACTTGAGATGGTTTTTTCTTTCTTGGCATACTCCTCAGCCTTTGAAACAGCAGATGGAGTTCACGCAAGTGGCCCCACCAACTTGGTCACTTGTCTCCGGGGGGCGCTGGAAGCATGCCAGCTGTGCATCAGACAAAGCACGAATTATTACTAGTTGTCAACCTTACAGGGAATATCAATCAAATAAGCCCACTCCCGCCTCTCGTTTTTTTATTTATTTCTCTGTTAATTACAATCCAATCATTATTGATTGGGATTTTTAAAAATTATAAAAAATTAGAAAAGACGGAATCAAGAATGATATAATTATTGGATTAGTAGTTTAGGTATTCCCAATTATTTTGTTCTGAAAAAAATCATATATTTAATCCCGTTGACTTTGTTTGTCTGTTATTATTCATACCTTATCCCATTAGCTTTGGTGGAGGGAGGGGGCGTGGGTGTCTGTTCGTATGAGCTGGGGGGTAATTTGCCAGAGACACGGTCAACATGAGGAGGGAGTGATGCCCGCGAGGACCGAAGAGATGGACGGTCAACCGGAACTCTTCGAGGGTTGATGATATGTGGCAAAGAATGGTTGTAATATGCCCCCATCTATTGGGCCCAATCTGAGGAGCTAGACAGCGACTAAGCGCACATCACATCTACGACCGGGAAGAGTGCTCTCTCCCTCTTTCTCTCTCTTCATTTTTGCTCTCGCTACTGATTCCGACCGAGTCGCGGTCATTATGGACGTAGAATACTGTTGATGTCCAATCTGGTGAGAGAGATAGAGATAGAGATAGTAATTGACTGAGAGAGAGAGAGAGAGAGAGAGAGAGAGAGAGAGAGAGGGAGATTGAACCCATTGACGCTAAAAATCTACTTTGGGCCATCGTGTGGGTATCCTTCGATGGTTTTAACTTAGACGATATATAGATGGGTGGTGGGATCCTCTCTCTCTCTCTCTCTCTCTCTCTCTCTCTCTCTCTCTCTCGCTAAGAGCCCCTTTTGGCCTGCAACTGTAGTATCCCCCTTATCTCCTTTGCAAGTCATTTCTCACCCCAGAGGCACTTGACCAATTAGAGGACATTGTTGTCATCCGAATATTGAGCCGCATGTATGAAAATTAATTAAATATTTTCAAGAATTTGCTGCACCGTTGACTGTAAGGACTAAATACGAATCTGGGTACAAAAATGAGGAACTTGTTGATAGTTTACTTAGTTTGTGGACAGATGGAACCAAAACAGACGTTGATCTATTCTCCGGTTTCATCTCTTTCTCACCATGTTTTGACATCCGGGGAGAGAGCGGAAGAGAGAGAGAGAGAGAGAGAGAGTCTCATCGCTGACCATCGTGTCGGGATCCTTGTACGGTCAATGGGCGCGATTACGGTTCGAATCGATACTGTTCTGTGTCTCCCACGGTCCGGCGTAAAGTCTCTGGTTTTCCAAATTGCGAGCCTCGCTGAACATCGCTTTAATAGCATTCTAGCGATGGGACTACTTTAGAGGGAGAGAGAGAGAGACAGAGAGAAAGAGGACGTCTCACGCATGTTCGATACGTTGACTGTAATTCTCAAAGCTCCGTCTACATTTTTTTCCATTCGTATCTGCTTCTTTGTCTCACTCTCTACCCGCACTACTTGCAGTCCAAGGATTGAACCATTCAAACATCTCGTTCAGTTGAGCGGCCCACTCCCTCCCTCCCTCTCTCTCTTTCTCTCTCTCTGTCCAAGGTTGAACCATTCAAACATCTCCTAAAGCGCTCAGTTTAGCGGTCCACTCCCTCCCTCCCTCTCTCTCTTTCTCTCTCTCTGTCCAAGGTTGAACCATTCAAACATCTCCTAAAGCGCTCAGTTTAGCGGTCCACTCCCTCCCTCCCTCTCTCTCGCTCTCTCTATCTATCCATCTCCTTGTCTCTCTTTCTATCTCTAACATTATGACTCGAAGAGTTTACCCGGTCAGACGCTCCATGAGAGTATTTTCCCGATATTATTTAGGTCATACAGCAAGTCAACGGACCATGTAGACTCGGTGAGGAACAGTGCATTAGGTTCGAAGAGCGTACTTTTTTGAACAAGTCCCTCCTGAATATCTTTATTATAATACGTATACATTCAGCCGTACGCACAGACAATATCATTGCCACATACCGGGGTTTTAGGCAAGATAGAAATCTTACGAGGGATTCGCGAAAAAAAAAAGATCGGTAATCGGCTTCCCCGTCGTCATTCCCCGATAGCACCTCTCTCCCTCTTCTTCTCCAATCCAAGGCTTCTCTCCATCTGGGGATCTCTGAAGGAAGCGTAGAAGGAGAGAGTTTTGTCGGGAAAGTGACCTTTCTTGCGGAGGAGGCCATTGACCGAACGACCTCGTTAAGTCAACGCCACACACCGCGTTTTGCTTCAAGTGGGAACACGCGTGGGGCGGTCAGACCGGACCCCGAAGAAGAATATTTAGGAGGAGTAGCCCATCGACGGCGGCGGAACCATCTGAGCTCGCCCAATCTACGTGTAGATGTGGTTGGTGGGTCGTCGGCCGTTGAATGAGGTCCCCTGGGCCCCACCCACTCCCACAGGTTTTCTCCTCAACAGTTCGATCAGCGGCTTGGGAACTCACCGCCGGTGGGAGCCCACCGGAGGTCCCGCCGCTGCGGCCCTTTCCTCGCCTCTCACATAGTTTTAATATACAATTGCGGAGACCGCCCCAGAAGAGAGAGAGAGAGAGAGAGAGAGAGATAGAAAGAGGAGATCACTCAGGAGAGGCGATCGAGGCCGCCCATGTCGTTGTCTGAGGATCTGGGAGGGCCGAGTGGGACAGGGGGGGATGCGGCTGGGAAGGTCCAATGGAAGCTTCCACACAGGCGGGGGGGAGGGGGGAACGATGGTCGTCATCTATCAAAAGGGATGAGATTGCAGTCGTCCATCTCAGACCAGTCTCATGGATGATGCCGCTCCATCCCCCTTCTGACCCCTTCAACACGCTCCTGGTGACCCTACCCCACCAGCGAAGCTCGTCCCTTCTTGCCCCTCATATCTGACCGCCCAGCTCTCCATTGCCGTTATCAACCCCCCTCCGCTCTCTTCCTCTCCCCACAGCTCCACTCTCTGCCTCCTGAACTCCCTCTCTCTTTCTCTCTCCCTCTCTCTCTCGCTTACTCGTTCACTGTTCTCTGTGTGTTCTTCTTCGAGACCGGAAAGACTCGCCCGCTCAAAGAGGATTCCTGCTTAGAGACTCCATGGCTACGGCGGAGAAGGTGGGTGTCCGGTGTTACTTCGATCGCCAAGCTCCCTTTCCCTGGTCATACTTCGTGGGATTCCACGAACGTTGCCTTTCTTCTCGCCGCCCCGCCATTTCAGGCGATTCCTCGTGCTCCTCTGTTCCGGAACACCTTTTCCTTCCCCGCTTTCCGCCGCGGAGATTCCCCAGAACATCTGAATTTCCCTCTGTCGGAGTTGACTTCGAGTTAGTGGACGAAGAGCTTTCTCTGTTACCCACCACCATCAGAAACCGGGATTCTCCCTCCCTGTGAAGTTTTGCAGACTGAATCGGAGCTTACTCGAAGCAAAACACATGAATTTCCTCACCTTCTTCGGCCTTTCTGTTTCTCTTTTCCGGGATTCGATTTGAAGGCGTGCGTAGGATTTTGATTTCTCGAACGAAATATATCCTTTCTTCTGATTAGTGTTTGAAATTTACTCACCGTGAATTCCTGGATTTGATTGCAGAAGCTGGTGCTGAAGGTGGACGTTCCCGACAACAAGGCCAAGAAGAGGGCCCTGAAGGCCGTCACCACCCTCCCAGGTACCCAGAAAGCCCTTCTTTCAGCTGCTCCGATATCCTCTCGTCCTCCTCCTCTAGACCTCTGTTTTAGGGTTTCTCATCGTCGTCTTCCTCCGCTCCTCCAGGGATCGACTCCATCGCCATGGACATGAAGGACAAGAAGATGACGGTGATCGGCGTCGTCGACCCCTGCGCAGTGGTCGCCAAGCTGAGGAAGAACTGGTACACGGAGGTCCTCACCATCGGCCCCGCCAAGGAAGAAAAGAAGGAGGAGAAGAAGGAGGAGAAGAAGGAGGAGACCAAGAAGAACGTCGACCACGTGATCATCTACGATCCCACCCGGTACTACGTCTACGGTGGAGAGGAGGATCCCAATGCGTGCGTCATCTGCTGAAACTCCATTCCTTGAACCCTCCTGTACAGGGTTGGTGGCCTACCGCGACTAGAGCTCGCACGTATAGAGATGAGCGGCAAAAAGAGACTCGTGTAGATTGATTCGAGTTGATTTTGCAGGAATCTCTTTGTAAGATTTTTGTCTCTACGTTTATGAGAAGCGGGTTCCGATGGGCACCCGGGCTAGCTTGCTGCTGGTTCAAGTCTCCCCGAGCTGGTGATGGCGACGGGTGCCGTTATCTTCTTGCTGCTTGATCGGAGGCGGGTTGGGGAAGGGGGAACCTTTAGGACGGAACGGGACGACTCTCGCGACGCCACGTGGTTTGACGAGATCTCCCGCTTCTTCCCGAACCTATTTGGAGGGGCTTCGGGCCCAACTGCCGTCAGCGTCTCCTTGAATTGAACAGCGATCTATTCTAAAGGGAAGAGAGAGGAAGAGAGAGAGGGGAGGGATAGAGAGAGAGAGAGAGGAGGGAGGGAGGGAGGGAGAGAGAGGCAATAATCACGAGTCTGCGGGAGAATGATTGGTACGACTCTCTCCGATTGTCAGCCGGTTTCGGATGGATAATAGCATCTAGGCTCAGAGTTGACTTCTGATGTTTTTGAAAGAGAAAAACGAGGGCCGCCGTAGAATAACTTCGGCTTAGAAGAGAGAGAGAGAATGAATCACGATAGTACAACCTCCTTCGGGTTTGGCCCTCGAGCTCTCATCGGTGGGCTGAATTCCATGCGTCATCTCTGACGCTTCGGGGAATTTCAATCGCTGTACCCGATGATTGGAAAAGTCAATGCCGTTCAAGAACCCGCCACCGCTGCTGAATAGCTGTCGAGGTTCCATTGTCAAAGGGCTCTGTCCCAGAGCCTCAGTAGCTCGTGTGAAGAGGTCATCTCCAATGATTTTTCCGATAGTCGAAGTCGATTACGTGCCCTTTCCTCTTCCTCCCTTTCAAATAGTTTCTTCGAAAATCTGTCAAATAGGAGTCAAACCCGAGTCGGGCCAGGGCCTTTCAAGCCCAGCTTCATCCGCAACATCCTGCGAAGAGACACAGTGAGACAGAGAGAGAAGCCTAGCGCGGGCTGGTTTCTGTGGATTAAACCCATATCAGGCATGTGGCTCAACTCCGGGATGGGTTCCCTCATTGATATGGCTGCAGGTCAGTCAACTCCATGAATGTTTTGGCGCAATTTGGTAGTGTATCATTATTTATCCGCATTGACTTTGTAGGAGTGGTACATCCATGTCGTAGATAGGTTGGGTCACCCAGATTGACTGAGAACCACTGCCACCCAACTCGCGGAAATCCTTCTGCGTGCCCAGGTTTGCTGGGAGAACTCCGACACCAAAAGGGGTTGAGATGATGAGTGAGAGAGGGACCTAGTATTAGAAGAGAACTCCCACACCAAACAAGGGTTGTGATTTGAACAGGTCCAAAAGAGTTATGACGTCGACTGAAACTCTCTCATTGAATGCACCTAAAATTTAATGGCGCAACTTTATGTCTTATCTAGTTTACCTTCCATAATTATTAGAACTTTGAGGCTGGGAACTTGATGCAGCCTTCATGGAATGAATAATATCTGTGGAAACCTAAATTTAGTGTTCTTATTATTGAATGAAATCGAGATCAGTTTCAATGCGGGAGAAATCATGTATATACTTCATTGCTCAATCTTAATGCCAGCAGTACTCTCTCTCTCTCTCTCTCTCTCTCTCTCTCTCTCTCTCTCTCTCTCTCTCTCTCTCTCGCTCTCTCTCTCTCTCTCTCTCTCTCTCTCTCTATCTCTCGTTCTCTCTCTCTCGCTCGCTCTCTCTATCTCTCTCTCTATCTCTCGTTCTCTCTCTCGCTCGCTCTCTCTCTCTCTCTCGCTCTCTCTCTCTCTCTCTCTCTCTCTCTCTCGCTCGCTCGCTCTCGTTCTCTCTCTCTTTCGCTCTCTCTCTCTCTCTCTCGCTCGCTTGCTCTCGTTCTCTCTCTCTCTCGCTCGCTCTCGTTCTCTCTCTCTTTCGCTCGATCTTCTCTCTCTCTCACGTCGTCAACGATAAAGGAACGCCGCGACAGCTGGCGGAGAACCATCACTTTAGCGGCGACGTCGAAGAGGGAAGCGAGAGGTGGCCGGTGAAGCTGGGGAGGGATGGACTCGCAGCTGCACGGGGCCTTCCCGCAAGTCCGAAGGCTCTCCGCGGCTGACTGGAAACGGTTGTGGAGCAGAAGATAGCGGTGGTGAGGGAGGCAATGCCAACTGCACGAGGAAGAATTTATGGCGGTTCCCAGATGAAGCAGCAGTGCCCATTTTTCCAGAAATGATTGATATCTAAGGAAGAACAGAGAATTTACTTCCGCCAGTTCTAGAAGATATGACTTTGCAGGGGCATACCACTATGATTTATGGGTTTTCGATGAACTTCACGAGCCTGAAGAAATGACTTCCCGGCGGCTGCTGGGGCTTGGTTTCGGATTCGAGGGTGAGGTCAAAAAGGCTGATGTTGTTGCTCTTGAGCGGCTTGGTCTGGCGGAGGAAGTACTTCTGGGCGTGGGTCATGACCTGCGTGGAGGTCCGCGTCTTCACGAACTCTCGGGAGATGTCCTTCCAGTTACCCTTCCCCTTCTCCGCCAGACCCTTCAGGAAGGCCTTGTGCTCCTCCGCTGTCCATTTGCTCCCTGCCCATCGCAGCAATCCCTCGAACGTCACACATAGCGGACGGAGAAGAAAGCTAGAGAGAGAACGAGAGAGAGAGAGATCCAGAAATCTCTGCGTACCTTTGTTCTTGGAAGCGGACTTTGCAGTGGCCTTGGCGTCGCCGTCGTCTAGATTTTCCTTCTCAACTTGTTGCCTCTGCTGTTGAAGATGTGGCGACCGTTCATCCCCTATTTCTGGTTTCCGGTGTTCTGCCTGAGGGCACTGTATCCATGTTCCGAAGAGCCTTATGCTTCTGCCTCCGGCGCCGTCGCCATCCCCAGGGGCGGCGAAGCCGCCGCGAACGGAGCTCGAGTCCGTGGCCATCGACTGTGGAAACCTATGGAGCCCAGCCAAGAGATAGATACAGGATCTGAAATATTTCTCTGGAGCGAGAGTGTGCCTGCGTGGGAAGTGGTTCCTTTGGTTGCTGAAAGATTCAGGATCTGAAATCTTTAGACTTTGGGTGGGAAGGCAAAGGAGTTCCTGCCGCCTGCCTTCGTTGGCCGGTCGGATTCGCGATCGTAGATGCTTTCGCTGAAGAAAGTGGCAAGGGAAGCGTCGACTACGCCGGCGGGCAGTGCTGGAATTGGCGACTGCGATGGAAAATATGATGTTAGGTGATTTGCAACCAGAAATATTATTTAATCAACATATCTCGAGTTTAAAATAACTAAAACTTAATGTAATAATGCTGTAGGTTGATGGGTACCTTTGCTCAGTATCCTATATGGAGGATAGGATCTCCTGGAACGTGCTAGATCACCTCCCGAAGTTGCTTCAAGGTCAAACGAACGAGAATTACTCGTTGAGGAAGGGTAAAGGTCCAGGTGTGGGGGTGGGTGGGTGGGTGGGTGAGTGAGTGTGAGAGAGAGGGAGAGAGAGAGAGAGAGAGGGAGAGAGAGAGAGAGAGAGAGAGAGAGAGAGAGAGAGAGAGAGAGAGAGAGAGAGAGTGAGAGAGAGAGAGAGAGTGAGAGAGAAGAGAGAGAGTGAGAGAGAGAGAGAGAGAGTGAGAGAGAGAGAGAGAGAGAGAGTGAGAGTGAGAGAGTGAGAGAGAGAGAGAGAGAGAGAGAGAGAGCAAGAGAGAGAGCGAGAGAGAGAGAGCAAGAGAGAGAGCGAGAGAGAGAGAGCACCTGGAGAGTAGAGTGCCCTCGTTGATTGCCAACCCATAGTTTCTCACTTCATATAGAACAAGGAGAGGCCAAAAATGGAAGGAAACGTGCTGGCAACAGGAATCCACCAGCCAGCCACGAGAACTTATGACGGCCAGCGAAGTATCTAGAACTCCTCTAGGTCTATAACGGGCAATCTAGTTAAGAGTAATTAATGTTAGTTCAAAACAAGATGGTAGAGAAAATAACTACGAATCACAATGGAGCAGTCGCCTAGAAACTCCAGCCATGATGGATGAGTCCTTCCAAAACGGGCTCATTAAACAACTTAGTCAACCATGTAACCCTAAGGTCTCCTCAAAGCTTCAGGGTTTAGATTTTTTTAATCTAATAAAGAAATAAAATAATTTATTTGAAATGAACATTAAATCTTAGTCAGGTCTTTGCCCCAAACTTCATTACAATAACATGCTCTTCCTAGGGTGTGGATAATAGCCATTCCATCAGAATCTTATGTCACAAGCATTCTAGTAAGTTGTTTAGCTCATCATAGCTCTATGGAATTTTCATTATAGAAAGGGTTTGACTTTGAACATGAATCTCTTATTTATTTGATTGTAGAAAAGGACCTCTAATCTTTCTGATTGATGTTTACATCCAAGTGTCAATAATTGAAGGGTAATTGTGGATATGATATTAATGTTGAATCCTAAATTCTACTTCATAGTTTTGCATAGATAATACCTTACTTCATGAGATTTTTGTTACCATTGCTTACCTTATTACCTTAATTTTTTATGTAATGGAGAATGAGGAAGTAATAAAATAGCACCTTGAATCCACTAGGATAGAAAGCTGCAATCTTTACATCCTTCAGGACCAAGGAACTCCCTAAATCCTCAAGAGAGATGTAAATACAATTTTCATTGTGAAAAAGGCATCCATTCCTTCGAAAATAATTTAAATAAACCATGGAAACGTAATAACTCATTTAAATAATAAAATTGGTTAAAAATATTGACCTCTTAGATGACATGAAATGGCTACTTATCATAGCTCACCTCCTTTTCAGTAAAATATATTTGACCTCCTACTCAAGGAAAATGTTTTTTGGCCTTGTTTGAGACCTAAAAGACTTTCTTTCAACCTTGGACGTGTTACCCTTTCAAGTTTTTGGAAATTTTTCCATTTCTTGCAAATCTAATCCACATCAATTTTAAAACCATTCTGATGTCTAAATATATGTAGAAATAGGTTTAAAAATTTGAGATTTTGCAATCACTAAAATTATTAGATCTGCTTCAACAATCAAATTTAAAATTTTATTCTATATTTAAATAATTAGATATATATTGTGTAAAAAATCATTCCTTGAGGTTGAGAACATGCCACATTTAAAGTGTTGACACCTCGGCTTTGAAATTGTGTCAAGAATGTTTCTTCATTTACTCTTTAATGTTGATGAAAAAAAATTAATAGAGACGATAATATTTAGATTAAAAACTCTTCTTTGTGCAGACACTTAAGAAGGAAATTTGTCAATTTGAAGTTTCTAAATAAAGTAATGTGAAAACTAGTCTACTAATGTAATAAATGGCAATGCAATTAAAATGTTTCTTAAACAAGAATCTTACGGTAAAAATAGATATTATAATATCTACCTCAATCATTTTATTTAAATGGGTCAATATACTGCTTCTGTAAGAATCACATTGAAGGGAATGCGTTTGGGAATCAGAGAGAGCTGTTTATGCCTCCACGTGAAGAACAGTTTATGTACCAGCTATTACAGAAAAGAAGCTGTGATTTCAAGTGTGAAGATACTCCACTCATTGCTAATTGGTTGTGAATTGTATGAGCCCATAACTCTAACAAGGTATCAGAGCATATTGCTGCTCTTGGGTTAGATAAAACTCATCTCGCTTAGCCTCTGGGCTGTTGCCTAGGACTTGCCCTTGAAAATCTCTCCCCATCAATCTATCTTCTAGCGGAAGAAGGAAATTCCTCTTCTATCTGCACCGCTAAATCTCTACTCCAATGGAGACTATCACAGTAGTAAAATAAGATACCGTCTCACCTAATTCATCGAATTCGTTACTAAGATGTTTTCTTCTCCAGCTGTAGGTTCAAGTTGACCAACTCCTTGTTCCGGCCGCTTGAAATGGCCAAACTTGATCCGTGCTAGATTGGATGCCAAACTTGATGATCTTTCGGTTGATAACTGTGGCATTCCATAAAAAATGTGTAGTACCCAATGATCGGGTCATTAAAGACATGCTCTCTCTCTCTCTCTCTCTCTCTCTCTCTCTCTCTCTCTCTCTCTCTCTCTCTCTCTCTCTCTCTCTCTCTCACTCTATCTCTCTCTCTCTCTCTCTCTCACTCTCTCCCCCCTCTCTCTCTCACTCTATCACTCTCTCTCACTCACTCACTCTATCACTCTCTCTCTCTCTCACTCTATCACTCTCTCTCACTCTCTCCCCCCCTCTCTCTCTCACTCACTCACTCTATCACTCTCTCTCTCACACACACACTCACTCTATCACTCTCTCTCACTCACTCACTCTCCTCTCTCTCTCGTTTTTCATATAGTTGCAAATGGAGGGGGCATCGAATCTATTATCTCGGCCTGTGTCCCAGGATCTGCCCATTTATTCTCTCATATACTGAAATAATCAGAGAAGAGATCAGGCAATGAAAGACTAAGATGACAAAGAACACGATAGATAACTGAAATTTCGAAAAGCAATGCTGTCTTAGTATAAGGAAAACCCAGATCCCTCAGTACGAAATATTTAGCAACGCTCAACCCAGATCTTATAGTTATTGAGAATATTCTCTAATAAATTACTATGGAAACAGGCCATTGCCGATTGCTTTCTAGTTGAATGGCCTAATAATTCCAACATGGTGCGACCGGCAATGCAACCATGTTGAGCAAATATTCCCACATTTAGTTAACACAGTGATGAACCAGAGATTATAAAGATGGAACTACATGCTCGTAGTCATGGCTAATTAATATTTGAGTCGGATGGCCTAATAACGGGGATGTGTTTCCTCATTAATAACCCTGTCTGGCATTTCATTTTCATCAACAGCGGGAGGCACTAACAATAATAACATGGTTTTTATATACATACATGCATCATCATCATCATCATCATCATAATCATAAGAGAGCAGCTTCTTCTGAAATTTTTGATCCAGGATACGAGAATAGGTGCATCGCGTTTCTGTAACTCACCTGTGCGAGTTCGTCTTCCGGCATCTCCAGCAATGTGGCCACATAACCCAGCACCTGAGACGGAGGAAGCAATTTAGGAAAGTAGCAAGATCTCTGATTCGTGAATGCAGGCGATCAAAATAAGGCTAGATAAGTGAACATAATTGATACTTGGCAGAGGAAGTACAGTATTATGGAACATATGGAGATGGGGGATGCAGAGCTTGGTTGACAAGTAACATAGAAGAACAAGTTCTGCTACCAAAACTAGAATTTTTCTTCGGAAGCTGATTAGTAATGGATTCCCTGCTTCCAATAAAGCTCAGAGACTTACACCGCAGGGAAAAAAACACAGACCATAGAGATTGCTATTGGAATTTTACTCTCATTAGTTACCAATCTTATTAAGCTGCATGATTATGAACTTGTTGCACCTTCAAAGAAGACTCAGCAGCAGCAGAAGAAGAAGAAGAAGAAGAAGAAGAAGAAAGAACTGACAGTAGAAATATTTGCAGGATGATTTAGTGTTCCCTTTGAATCTATATTGGTTGTCCCACTGTGCACCGGTTGCTCTTGTGGAATGGAAGCATCCCCAGGCACACATGATAAGGAGCATCCTTTCAGCTGTGGAAGCCCATCAGGTGCATCCGATTCCAGCAGAATCCTGTCAGTGGGTACCTGCGATAAAAATGTCTGGCCGCATGATCTCACAACAAAATTTGTCGGGGAAGCAACAGAGGATCAAAGGGCACACCATCTTAAGCATTTTCTTCGCCTTCTGTGGTTTCATGCTCGTTAGGTACCCAGAAAAAGAAAAATAAGCACCGTGCTTGGCGAACCCTGGGACCATTTCAGCCGACCCGAGATACGAATGGAGGATCAAACCTGCTGGGAACGGCCCCTCAGACCTAATAACCAGAGAGACTGTCAAGCATCTGCGATAGCTGGCATGGTTGGCTCATAGATGAGTTATAGAGCTCAGGGTAGGAAAAATACAAATTAAACTAGAAAATATGTACGCTAGCTCACTGGCCGCAACAAAAATATATAAACTCTTATCCACCGTTTTCCACCATTTACTGACCGAAACTGTCCACAATGACACCCTATCGAAGTTCAGATGGGAGCCCCAGTCAAATGAAAATGAAGGTTTTCTATAAGCCCAAAGGTTAACAAATCGCAATGTAGTAGAAGCTACTGTTCATGGAAACACAATTTAGCTACAAAGTTTCTGGTGTCGCGGGGAAGTCAGTTGTAGTCAATTACAGAGGTCCAAGAGTAGAAGCTGGTGGTGTTGAAGATCTTTAAAACTAAGTGACGTAGTAAAGAAAGTGCTCTAGTAAAAGAAGATGTTCACAGGCAGCTGTCTGCACTAGTCAAGAAACAATTCACACGCCATATTCTCCAATTAAAGGTGATTTGGAACAAAGGCAAACTTTATTTTGCCATTTTCTGGAGGATGTTGAGGGTGTTCATATCCAAGATTATCTATTCTACAAGGGTTTTTTGTATACGAATTTATAATTGGACATGACCACGACCAAGAAAAATAGAAGTTGGGAACTTTGGTGCAATGTTTCACAATCCACGGACTATAAGGTTCGAGTTAGCCAAAAGGTATGGAAAACATGAGGGGAGACATTAATTCATTACAGTGGATGGCCCTTTCCATACCCATTGCAACGAATTTCTGGAGTAATATTTGAATGACATGTGATTTGGCCACATATCAGATGCTCTTCCCGATTGTCCTGGCTGCTCTGCTCAACAGGAGTCAGTAATTCCATCAAAGGGTGACCCTGTCACCCAAGGGTCAACCCTTTCCCCATTGGTTGGCCCGTTCATCCAAAGAGTGAATATATTCATCTGAAGAAATAATTTGAATTATTTCGTTCTGGGAGTAGATCCAATATGTTTTGGTTTTGTTATCGTTAGAGTTTAACAATTCGTCAGATCAAAACGAAATATATACTCCAACTTTGATGAAAAAAAGGATCGCATGCTTCCTATTAATTCAATAGTCTATAGTCCATCTAAAAAAGACCAATTCAAGATGCAATGATCCAACAACTGAGGAACAGAGATATTCAGACAAAACTTAGTCCGAATTAATAAAAAGAATCCTAACATTATAATAATGGGTTTGAAATTCCATTGTTGTAGATATTCCTCGTAGACAAGTGGACAGTTTCAAAGAACAACGATCAGATCAGTTGTTAGACGAACAATATGAAAAATCAAAGTAACAAGAAAAAGAAACCCAAATGGAAAAACTTTTTGGTTAATGTATTGAAAGACAGAAGCTGTAGTCAAATTGATATTTCTAAAAAAATAGAATACCTTAAAAGAAAACTAGGGAAAGTGCATGGAAACCATCTGAGATAACCTGATGATTATTTGGTCATCATTTCTGCAATGCTTCTAAAAGGAAAGGACACAAACCAAAAGGCCGTGCAGACATGGTATGATACAAGGATATTAGCCAATGAATTCGATATTAGTTCAGCCCATGCTACACGTTCTCCTCCACATTCTAATCCTGCCATATCGACAACGGCAAAGACAAAGAAAATCTAGACTCAACCCTAAACCATCCTGAACAACTAATGCATAATAGCATGGTTTACATGCAGATGAAAACTGATGACATAATAGCATGGTTTATGTATTAGTACATTAAAAGCGTCGATGAAAGATATCAAAACTGATGAGAAAAGTAACCGTACTGCAGTATTTCTAGAAGGTCACCGAAGGCTCGAACACAATGAACAGAAACAGGCCTCTCTAACTCTTTTGCTAGTTTAAGTTGTTGTCGGAAAACTTGAACCTGAGGAATAAATAATGGGATTCATGGCGTATGAGAGAAGATATCCATTAGGAGCAAAAGAAATTTCGACCCAATTTTCCATGAATTCATTTTTTTTTTCTTGAACAGTTTTATTACATGAATTCAAAAATGAGATGCAAATTTCGAGGTTATAAATGATACTAAATATGCACTTTCTGTGGGATCACCTGATCCATGAAGTCAATTTTCTTCCCATGCGAACCTTTATCCAATCCTATCTGAAAATGGTCAAGATGGAGATCAGATGCATGAATCCAAGAATGGAACCCATGGAATCTCTCTAAGGGAGATAATCAACGATCAATAAATTGATAAAGACTAAAAAAATTTCAAATATAAGAAGAGTTCTGGAGTTCCTATCATGCAGACATTTTCCCAAAACAGAATAATTATATGACGTATGTAGCAGGAAATCACTTTTTCTCATGATGTCAAAGCCAACCCATTTTTTCATATCAAAGTAGTTTGTATCTCGAAGAAGATTATTTGGTTTGAAACAATGAATCCAAGAATGGAACCCATGGAATCTCTCTAAGGGAGATAATCACCGGCCAATAAATTGATAAAGACTAAAAATTTTCAAACAGAAGAGTACTGGAGTTCCGATCATGCTGACATTTTCTCAAAACAGAATAATTGTATAACGTATGTAGCAGAAAATCACCTTTTCTCACGATGTCAAAGCCAACCCATTTTTTCATATCAAAGTAGATTTGTATCTAGAAGAAGATTATTTGGTTTGAAACAAATAATCAGTAAAACTGAGCTTATAAAGGCAAAAGGTGAAGCCAATAATATGAAATTCCATGTCCCACCCATGATTGAATATTTCTCTTATCCCATAAATCTGGGGAGAGCTTCCAACAATGATCCCAAAAGATTCCCAAATACAGACACACTCAAAAAATTTCACCATTAAAACAAGTTGACTCCCAAGAACAGTTGGGTGACTGATCGATGCCTTTTAAAGGCTCCACCAGACGATCAGTTACGAAAAACATCTGCTTGAAAATAAAAAAATGAAACAATCTCAGCTGGATGAAGCAACTCAAAATGTTTCACAAGAACAATTGCTAGATGACGAGTAGCATCTCCTGCATGGTTTTCAACAAGTATATCATTTTATTACATGAAAACCTTCCAAAATACGGTCAAATATTTTCTACAGGGTGGCTATGTAGTTTGGGAAAAAAAAAAAACATGTTGCAGGAGGAGCATCACAAAGCACAAAAGACATTCGCCAAAAAGTTAGGCAAAGGGCAGAAGGAACGAGATGTGAAGCATCAAGAGAAGTCTCTAATTCAAACTTAGCTCGCATAGCTAAATACCTCGTCTTTCTAAGGCTAAAGAATAAAATAAAATTAATATTTTTGACAAGTACATTAGGAAGTTGATCTCTCTTCACATGGTAATACCAACAAGGCATCAGTTTCAAATAATGTAGAAAGGAAATGAAAAAATTGGTCCATTAGAACATTAAATACTGAAGAAAAGCAACGCATTGGATGATAAAAATATCCCACGTGATAAGAATATGGGTAAGAAATAAGAAATTAGGACCCAAACATCTCAGGATTAAAATAATAATAATAATAATAATAATGCAGACTATCAACGGAAATCGCAGAAAGGGAAATCATTGTCCTACTTCGCCGACTGCAGCACCAGGCACCGCGCTGAAGAATTCCTTCATCACGCTCAACCAGTTTGGTGACCTCTCGAGAACATACCTGAAACCATTTCATGGTACGCCGGATGAATTCAATTCCTGATGGTAAAGCGAATCAAAAGAAAATAAAATACCCGGTATATTACTGATAATCTTGAGTAATAAAGTTTTTTATTATTATTATTTTTTACCAAGGATGGAGGCCAAAGCAGGGGATCACACAGGGGTGTTGCTCGGACATGTGCTTTACCAGATGCCAATCCTTCTGAAAAAACGAACAAATGCAGTAGAAACGACCGCGACCAACATTAAAAATAAGACTCCTGGCTTCAAACTCCGACCCATCAACTCCTACCCCCGAAACCCACAGAATCCCAAAATTTGCAGAGCGGTTTGGATCACCTCGGATACACCGTTGACGGCGAACTTGACGACGCCGGTCTCTTGGGCTTTACGGATGATCTGGGTCGCCACGGAAAAGATCCTGGGGTCCTGGAGGTGGCAGTGAGCATCGAACAACTTCACTGTTGTCGCCCCTCTGCTGGCGCCTCCGCTCATTTCTGCTTCTCTCCCCTCTGCGATTCCACAAACCGCATATTTTGTGCCACTTCAAAACCCTCGTGATAAATTCTTGGAAACAAATAAGCATTAGGGATATTCCCAGTTTATAAATGTTTAAACTGGTACTCACTAAATATTCAATCTTTAAAACACGGATTTTAATGACTTTAGTGATCTCCATTTTTTTCGAAGGCCCATTCCATCACCATATAGTGATACTTATAGTAGCAGGCCCCAACTCTCGATATTTATACAATGAATGTGTGCCAACCCTCTCCACCCACCATTATTTTCTTAGACAAACCTTATCCAACGTCCCCCACGGTTCTATCTTATCTTAGCAGCCCTCAACCTTGACAAATTTTTCAAAGAGCCACCCAATGGAGATCTTAATATATTAGTATGTCTTTAAAGGAATTCTTAGGAATAACTGAAAGGGGCTGATGAAGTAGTCTTTCTATATATTGTTATTTAAAAGTAGTACATATCACTTTTTTTGTGTATTTCATCATGTAGTGTTGCACCCTAATTTTTCACATTTTTTTAGAATTTTGTTTTTCTAAATTGTGTTAATGGGTAGACTTACTAGGTTGACTTTGGTCTATTGGCTTAAGTATTTTGATGTTGATAAAAAAATATAAAAATAGAAATAAAAATTAATCATAAATATGTGATCCTTGTACGATGTTTTGATAAAGATCTAAGCTGGAAAAAAAATTAGATTTGGGAACCCATAATAATATAACTATATCTCTTGGTGATCTAAATTATCATGGATGTAAATTGACCTTAAATCAATATGAGTAAAATGAATCATGAAGCAAAAGATTCAAGAGAAATTCAAGAGAGAAAATTATAGAAAAAGACTAGTGGGTATGCAAACTCAAGTAACTGAAAATCTAAGACTCTATCTTTTCAGCATTTTTTAGACTAAATTGTTATGTATATATTACTTAGAAAAGTATTTCAAAGACTAACACAATGAAACAAAAATGGTGCAAGTTAATTTAATGATTATGATTTATTATCAATTTCACTGTACAAATGATCATTTTTTGAATTGAGGACCTCATGTCATAGCCATAGGTCTGATTTCTGGTTGTTCACATGATCATTGAAGGCCTCAAAACTTGGCCTGCAAGAAGGAAACTCTGCCTCAGATTAAATGACAAGGTGAGAGAGAGAGACACAATAATCGTACCCACCCCTTTAGGATTCCACATAACCCTACAAGAAAGTTTTCTTAGATGAGAAGAAGTCTAGTTTTTGGTTAACACATTCAAGAAAAGACCCTCTTCAAGTTCTAGTGTTGTCAAAGTAGTCAAAGAGATGTTCCAACAAAGTAAATAATAGTACAACATTAGTTATAACCACATCAGAGGAGGGTATGAATCAAAGTAAGCACATTGGTATTATGGTTGAATTTAATATCATATTTATAGCTAGTAAATACACCAATCGTGCTATTGTTGACATAACTTGAAATGCATTTAGATTTGGGTTCGATAACATCTTAACTTGTTTATTGGGCTAAAGCTAGTAAGGCCCATAGAGGCTTGACAATGTCATTATTGTCATTTGGTGGGCTGAAGCCACTAAGTTAGTAGAGGCTTAACAACATTGTAGCATCTATTTACTGGGATGGAGCTAATAAGACAAGTGGAATGATAGCAGCATGATAGTTGTTAATTGGGTTCTAGCTTGTAAGCCCACAATGGCTTGATTGTCATAGATGAAATCTGATTCCTAGGGCTATTATAACTTTGATGTAATATTTATGGAAGATTAATGAAAATATAAGTGTCTCTTTGGATAGTGGATGTAGGTTGAGAGCTAAATCACTCTTAACCTATGTGTAACTACTTTATCTTAGTGTAAATCATATATAATATTAGAAAAGCTATGTTCAAATTAATTCAGCTGCCTTCTGTGTTAGGTTTATTCACTCCTCTAGACCACATTAACCCTTTGTCAAGTCCTTTAGGGCCACTTACTAATTAATGACCAACTTAGAAAATTGTTTTTATAATGGTTTGGCCTTTCCTAGCATGTCTCCTTACTATACGGCTTTGCCTTTTATTTTCACTACTTCTTTCTCACATGACACTCATTTAACTTCATGAGATCAACAAATTCTCTTACAAGATTATTTCCCTAGTATATCCTCTTCATAATAGGTTCTTTTATAATGGTTTGGCTTCTCTAACCTACATCTGCTTATAATGAGTTCTTGCCCTTAATTTTCATTACTTATCAGAAAATACTCATTCATGTTCTTGAGATCAACAAATATCTGTGTAACACTGATTTTTTAGGTTTACCACCTTCATGCCATACTCAAAAAGCACAAAGTTCTCTTATTACTAGCACTCTTCTTAAGTGTGTTCAAGCACAAAATTAAGAAATAATTAACTTAGAGTTGATCTTCATAACCAAAAGTATTCCTTAAGTAGGTGGGATTGAAACCTTGAGGATGCTTTAGTGATGTTGAACTTACTCTAGCAATTAGGTAGAAAGAGAAAAGTGATTTGGAGCACAAGTTGACTGAGTTGATTAAATGTGAATGTTTTGTTAGAAATCTTTGTGAGATCTACATCAAAATGGGTTACTTATGAGCATAAGAAGTTGACCGATTAAAATGAGTGAAATCTAATTAGTAAAAGATTTGATGAGTCAATCTCTAAGTCAATTCATGTGCTATTAGTGCACTAGCTTGACCCACCTTCAACAAATTGCCCTATCTTTTTGTCAATAAAATATTATTGAATATTTGATTTTGGATTATGGTAGATACTATGACACTTATTCAAAAATTTTGATTGACCAACACAACGTTAGGTTTAATTCACTTTTTATGTAATTTGCATTTTATAATATTTTTATTTGTTATGAATTGAATTTTCTTCATTTAGACCTCTTCCTAATTATTGTTTTTACATATTTATCCCTACAAAATCACAAATACACAACAAACGAACTAGATCTAATAATTTAGATCTTCACCTAACTATTAATGTAACATGTTAGTTTTAAAAAGGCTATAATAAGAAGCTTTGTAGGGTGAATCAATATTCTTACTTTCTCTTTTACACTTCCTTTTAAGATTTAATCACAAACAAATTCATGGTAGTTCTACAAAATTCTTAGTGAAATAAATTGAACATCAAGACATGAATCTTCTTGTTGTATAGTTAATTGAAAGATGAACATGATGCAATAATTGATCATTATCTAATTGTTGCAATGACCATTGTTTGGCCTAATGCATTGCATATAAAAGGGACTTTTCAGTTCACATTAGGGTTTGAGTGAAATAGAAAGAGAAATTATAAGAGAGAGCCATTTGCATCCACCTTTTTCCTCAGAGGAGTTCATGTTGAAGATATACATCATTGTGCACAAAAAGAGAGGGAACATTTTTTGTGTTCAAGCCTATAGATAACTATGTTATTGATAAATTTATTAGAGGTACACATGTCTGCTTAAAATGAGTTCATTATATGAGGTAGATCAATATCTACAAACAACTAGATACGTGTTCGTGTTTATACCACCATCTAATTGCTAGGTATTAGCACTTTGTTGGAATAAAAATGAATAAATTCCACAAAATCAGATGAACAATGCATGTAAGCCACAAGTTTGAGCTGACCCTACCAAAGTCAGAAACCCCTTCTACTAGGTTGACCATATTTTTATTGGACTAGTCTCAGAATAAAGCAAAAAATCCCAAACTTCTATGGTGACCCCTTCATTTTCTTCCTCTTCCTCTCGAGACAACCATATATAAATAGATATGATATATACATATACGCCATTTACATTTTTATTTTAGTTGCCTGCAAAATAGCAAAGTGATTGATTATCTCCCTGTATTTCTCATTTAAATTATCCTAAAAAAAAAATCATACTTTCATTTCAAAGCCCCTAGACATATAATGGATTATTTTTAACTTATAAATTCATATAAAAAACGTTAAATTGTCTCATATTATACTAAATTACCTCATGACTATACTATCCCTATGTCTATGGCCATCATTGGCAAAAAGGAAATAGCGAATGTCGTAGTCATGTTTCCCTAGATGACATAGCCAATAGCCTCTCTCTCTCTTTCTCTCTCTCTCTCTAGATTTGGGCCCAATGAAATAGATACAGTGAAGGAAAAGACGGACCAATGGGGGAGATTGGATTCAGAGAGAATACAAAAGGTCTTTTCTCTCCCCCATGTCCCATCCCTACCGAACTCGGTAGAGAGAGGGAGAGAGAGAGAGAGAGAGAGAGAGAGAGAGGGGAGGGCCGTCGCCCCATTACCATCCACAGAAACAAGGGAGCCACATTTATACCACACCTCTAGCTGGTAGAGGAAGCCGACAAAGAGATAATATTTTCATTGAGGTACCAGAGTCTCTTTGCATGACAAATATTTTTTGCAAATAATTAAATGGACTGAAATACCAAAAATGAACATGATAGTTTTTGAGTTAGAAGTTCAATATGAACAGTCATGTGACTCGTCAAGATATCCGCATGTTTGCTGCAGCTAAAACTAGATAATCCTACTCATAAAAATGCGTATATTTGCCCAAATTATTTTCCATTCTAAATGATTACTGATGAACAGCTCGATCCGTCACAACAACGTGGTAGGGCTCCCTGTCAGTAGCCCGTGACGCGATCGTCGTCTTCCTCCCCACCCAGATGATTGCAGGTCACCCGGTTCTGGCCCAACAAGGGTCCGACTGTGCTAAACAGTCTCGTAAAGTACGGCCGGAGAAGAAGGATGGAAACACGCACAGGCCATCGGAGGTGTTGCGACGCTAGCGGCGCCGCCAGACCACCCTTGCAGTCTCTCTCTACCGCCGCCGCCGCCGCCGCACGGCGAAATGAACGGAAAGTTCTCTCTTTTCCGTCCTTGAAGGAGAAAAACTCCGGGTTGAGACGGGGAACATAGCTGGTAGCGAGGACGATGGCTTGCCGGCGTCAGATCAACTTGGAGTGAACAAACCGATATCCTTACATTTCCCCAGATCTCCCGGTCTCGGCGGGGGAAATTAGGGCTTCCTGCCGAAGTTTTGACGAAGAAGAAGACGAAGGAGACCAGTTGGGCAGTGGTGCTGCTCTCAAGGGCAGTGGCCAAAACATGGGGTGGGGTGCAGCGGAGCCAGCGGCGGTGCGACGGAGCAGGACGACCTCTGTATTTTGCCCTGGGAGGCTAGATGGACGATGAGGTCCACGAAGGCTTCGAATATGAAACTGTGGGTGCTCTTCTGGTTGAGCCGAAGGTAGCATTGCAACAGCTCCTGGAGAGCGGACCAGTCCTTCAAGTCATGAGCCTCCACCATCTCGTCCATGGAAGTCCTGAAGTCCCTGTAAGGGTCCATCGATGCCATAGCCATGGGGATGCTCCGCCTGCACAGGGCTGAGTCCACCGCCGCCGCCGCCGCTTCCTCTATCAGACCCTCCTCGAGGGAAGGCTCCCCGGTTATGGACTTGGAGATACAAGGGTTGAAGAAGAAGCGCTCCGGGTTAATGGCGCCTCTCGAGAAACTCTCCATGGAGTAGGAGGAGGAGGAGGATGAGGAGGAGGAGAAAAGGCTGCCGGAAGTGCTGGTGCTGGCCGTGTTGGCGCTGACGGTGCAGGGGTCCGAGGGAGAGGAGGAGGTGGCGGAGGAGGAGGCGTAGTAGACGGAGTTGAAGCTGGTGAGGAGGTCCCGGAAGGAGTGGGTCTTGGCGGGCTGGAGGCAGAGCGGCGCTCCGACCGCCGTCCTGAAGTTGCTCAGGGCCTCGTGGACGGCTTTCATGGAGGATCTCACCTTCTTCGGCCCCCCCATGGCTTCCTCTTCTTGCGCACACCTCGCTCCCGCTTTCTTTTCATTACACGCCTTCATACATGAATATAAATACACAGGAAGTAGGTACGTTAATAGATAGATAGATAGATAGATAGATCAATAGAGAGAGGGAGTGAGGATTGTCAGACAGACGAGAAGGTGATGTCCCACTTATAGGTGAAGTGCGAAAGGGAGGTGACCAGACGAAGATGGGCTAGTGGGGGTTATTTCTCATTATTTAACGGCAGCCTGTGAGTCACTCCAAGAACTGAACCGAGAGGATTGGAAGATGGGTAGATTGCCATCGGGAGATTAACTTAGAGTGAGAGAGAGAGAGACATGACACGGTCATCAGGTCAGGTGTACCTTACGGCAGGGGTCCACGGGTCGTCCGGGCTTTGTCTTCTAACTATGGCTAACAGAGATGGAGGATTAGGGTTAACCTTTTGATGAGTTTGAGGAAGGCGACCAGGGAGAGGAGAGAGAGGACTGCAGCTTTGGGAAACTCGTGCTCTTTACCTTGTATAGTGCACAGTCTACACCTCTCATCTATAGGCTTCGATCCGCATTCCTAATTAAGTACGTTTCCGTTTCATGGCGTATAACCCGGTTTTCCGCCAGCTTCTCGTAGATCGCAAGCTAGCTAATAGAGGGAGAGAGGCGGATAGACAGACAGACAGACCGACAGGGGAGCTTTCCAATCAAACCCGGCAGCTTTTCACGGTTATCATTGCGAAAGATATAGCGTACTTCTCTCTCTCATTCATTTCTGTCGTAGAGATAGAAAGAGAGGAGGAGAGAGGAGAGAGAGAGGTTCGGCCGTTGGCCATAGTTTGACGGGACGGCAGACACGATTCGGAGTGCTGTCTAGTCGACGGGCAGAGCAAGACGAGAGCCTGGAAAGCTCAGAATGGCTCGCTGATTAGACGGTCCTAGTCGGACTAGCCTCACTCAGCAGTGTCTGCCAGGTGACTCGGTGGGGGGATTTAGTGAGAGGAGTGAATCTCTCTTCAGGCGAAACTAATGAGAGAGAGAGAGAGAGAGAGAGCCGTCCCCTTTCTCTCTCCACCTTCATGGCGATCCTCACGCTCGAGGAATCAGGTGACATTACACGCGTTTGGCCGCGCGTCAATCCTGTCAAAAGAAACTCCAAAACAGAGTATGGTGCTTGCCCACGGACCTGATTTCGTAGATTCCAAGGAATCCAAATCAAAGGGAACAACTGCATATAAAGTGCGCTCCATGATGGGCGTCATTCAGTCCTATAACTTGCCTCTTGCCATTCCTCGGTGTCAAGCCTACTAATCGTATGCCCACCTACTCAAGAGAGAGAAACAGAGAGGAGAGGGAAAATGCTTTCTAGGCATCCGAGTTAGAATTTCGGAGGTCAAACATGGCCTCAGAAACATTGTTCTATACTTGGAACTTCCTTTCCTCATTTTGACACTTACACGTATGCAATTGCGTAAATTTCCCAAATTAAGTAAAATCGAGTGATTTCAGAATTTGCTTTGTGAACTATTCCTCTAGTAAGTTCATAATGATTTTCATCACATTAATCTAAGATGCAATTCACATAAAATCAAATAATAACCCAAAAAAATATGGGGGAAAAATCGTGGAATTTATTTTCTAACATCTATTCAAGAAATTCATTGGAGTGATTATTTTTGGTGAAGAATATCATAATAATAATAATAATGCTGTTTTCTAGTTAATGAAGAAACTAACCAGGAGAGAAAGGTCTTCATGTTCTAAAATAAGACATTTTCTAATTTATTAATCTGATCTAGGAAAAATAAGTATTTTACGGCAGAAGAAAAATATATGGAGCGTATTGGGGATCCTCTTGGTCAACATGTTCTTAGGGTCAACCCCGTAGGAAGGGTGATGATGAGGCCTGTGCCACACTGCCTGAATCCGTCATTTTTTCACAGAAAGATGTTGGATCCACTCTAGCGAGGTTCATGAGCGTAACCACAGCTCTCTCTCTCTCTCTCTCTCTCTCTGTCCTTCTCCAGGCATCTCGTATACGCAGCAGAACCAGAAATCCTGCGCCGCCATGATTATTTCCAGTAGGGACCTCAACACTGCAACCTGTCTTTTCCGACCCGGTTGACGTACATTTTACGAAAAATTATCTTAATTCATATCTCGCCATGACACCAAGTTTTTATGGGACGGCGAAATGTGGCGGCTTCCCATGGAGAAATTTTATAAAATGCTTATTAAAATAATATTTATTTCTGGGGGGCGCTCTCTTAAAGTTCTAAAAAAAATACTATTTTAAGGGGAATGTTCGATTTTGATCTCTAAAAGTTAATGGAATTAAGAAAAACTCACTGTTTTATTGAATATTGGAAAAGACTCCGAAGAAAAAATAGAGAAACAAGAGGGCATCCTCAAATCCTCCCCATTCCCAATTCTACCAGTTTCTAGGGGTCAAGATGGTATTTCTTGAAGATGCCATTTTTTTATATATATTTATTCATCGTAACTTAGTAAAGAAATAATTCCGGAGCCCATCCCTGTCCCCCCCCCGGCCTCTGTTGGGGAGCGTCCGGCCCAGAAACTAAGGACGGGGGTGTTCTGTCCTTCCGGTCCCCCCCGTCATCTTCGAGCTCTCCGGTGGGGCAGATGCAGGCAGGGATCCTCTTGGCGCCTCCTACCTCCAAGGCTTTTGAAATTTAAAACATCGTCCCGTCACTCTTGGAGGGTTCCCACTCGGCAGAAGCTACCGCCGCCGTCGCCTTCTCTCTCTCCCTCTCTAGCTCTCTTTCTGTTGCTCTGTGCTTGGCTCGAAACATGGGATTTCGCTGGTCGTCGTCAACCTGCCCTGCGTGGGCGAAGAATCCTTTCCCCTGCTCTGTAATGCCATTCGCTTGTCTTTACTTCCCACTTGCCGCCTCTGTGTCCGTGTGTGCGTATCACGGGGAGGGGGAGAGGGGGAGGGAGTTTTTTATTACGGGGTTGGCTGCTCCATGCAGACGAGAGGGGGGTCTTTGCCTGTCGAGCAAACCTGACCAGGGATTACTCGACGAGGAGAGAGAGAGAGAGAGAGAGAGAGAGAGAGAGATTAACTTTCGGGATGACCGAGATAAGAGCGAATATCGTGGACACTTTTGCTCCCCCACGATGGCGGCTACTTGCATGGGGTAAACTGCCAGGGCCCTTGAAGAGTCGCTACCGACTGCCCGCCATGGGGCAGGGCGGGGGATTCTTCCCTCGTCGGTCGGCAGCACCAAGCTCGTATAGTCCACATGCACACCCAACTTAAATTTGGCATCGCGTCAGCATCCTTCAGATGCTGGCATCCATGTAGACAGTCAAGAAGAGATCCTCGTCGCAGGGGCTTCAAAAGTGGTATCTTCACCATTAAAGTGAATAATCAATAAAAAAAAAAAGAATATGCTCGGCTCACACTTTAAGCCATACTTGGGTGCTTTTAAGAAGATATATTATAGGAACCCAGAGTGTGCCAATTGACCAAAATTTTCAATTTACTGTAGAAATTTAGGAATATTTATCTATTCACCTTTCCTTTATATTATCTCTTTAATCTTTTGATCGTGTCTCTTGTCAAAAAACGAATTTATGAATAAATTTTGATAAAAAGATCTGAATCTTGGAAGAGGGCAGTTGGCCACTGAATCTTGGAAGAGGGCAGTTGGCCATTGATCTTTCTCTCGATAGAGCTCCTCACTAGGAGCTCCTTATATGGATGGAAGATGATTCCCCCACTTGCATAAGATCTCCATGCGGCTCATTCTGATAGGCTGACATATGGACGTCTCCCTTCCTTCCTAGAGTAGCCCTGAAATGGAAACTAGAGGGATAATGCCTAGAATGTCACCTAGATAGATGTGACTGTCGCCTTTTCAAAGATTAGATGTTGACTAGAGGCCCCGTACATAAGTAACTCTCATTACCAAGGGGGGTTGAAGTGGAAAGGTGTCATATTTCATCTAGGGAGATCATTGGAGCAAGGGTCAGTACCATAGTAAAACCTACATAACAGGGATCTCATGGAGTTGGGCATTTTCTAAAATCCTTCCTCTCTCTCTCTCTCTCTCTCTCTCTCTCTCTCTCTCTCTTATGTGTGAGTTTGTGCATGTTTTATAAGTGAAAGAAATTTCTGGAGCCTACGAGAAGCTAACTTTCCATGCACAATCAAGAAGTAATCCCCTGGATTTTAATGTGAAATTATTTGTTATCTGCTTTCATTAAGCGTTCTTCTATTATTGACAACAATCTTTATCACTTACTTGAGCTAAAAATTACATGGAAGATTAACCTACTTGCATGTGAGTGTACTTTGGTTGTAATAGAATAGACTAACTGGCATATTTTTCTACTATAGCAACTCTTAATAGCTTAATCATAATAAAATGTTGATTCTATGATAAGGGTATAAATTTAAATTCACATAGATCTAAGACATGAATTTAATTCATATCCATGAAGGTTTGACCTAGCCTTCCCCTATGTATTCAACAAACATTATGTTCTCAATAAATGATTAAAGGTTACAAAATATTTCTTTTGTTGAAAGGGATTCAATGGGCAGTTCAAATAGGCATGATACTTAAACAACATCATATGACATCAGAGTTTTGAGGGTTTGAAGACAAGACCAAAAATAACATCATTCACAAGATCCTCTATTCCAAACCTAATTCTTTTTCTTTATTTGCATTTAAGTGATCCATAAAATAAAGTTGGATTGATAAGCGTGTTAAAAGATACTTTAATCCAAAATAATTCTTAATTTTTTAAAATAAAGGATATGAGTTGGCTTTTAAATGAGGTCCCCAAAAAAGAAATATTTCACCCAATTTTAACTTTCTTATGAAAACTTGGAAAACTAATGAAGAATTTTATGCCTGAATTGAAAATTTGTAGCACATTTTAAATGCATGTGTATGCACATTTATCTTGATGGTAGCTATTGAGAGCATTTGATTGACCTTTTTAGTGGTGTGACCCAAAACAAATGGATA